ATATTGTGTTGAGTGATCGAGGGATGCTGCAGAAACTCTTACATGAGCGATGCTGATGCCGCAGTAGATGGAGAACGCGGTTGCCAGATCCTCATCGAAACGATTGAACCACGGCCCGTTGGTTTTATTCACCAGTTCTGCCACGCCGATCACCTCTGATGAGAGATCAGATCAGAGCAGATGTTCTCGTGGGTTTCTGTACTCGTGTCTGCGGTTGATGCACGTCAGCATCGTCTCTGACTGCCCTCAACATCTCTACAAGCAAAGCCTCAAGGACACACACATTTAATGTCGCACGCACTTTGAGCTCATTCTCTGTAAATCTCAAGCCTCGAGTGGCGTGTTTCTCTTTAGCGGTTCATCTCGATCTGATGGCTGTTTGTGGTAATTATGTTTAAATGTGATTCAGGACTGAATCCTGCAGCATAAATCTCCGGCAGGTTTCACTACACTGTAAAAAAAAAAAGCTACGTTTTTTTTTTGAGGTTGTAAATAATATTATTGGAGTACATTTGACAAGAAAACACTTTCAGTCATTCTACTTCAAAATTTCACAATTCAGTGTGTTACCTGTAGTTTCTTTGTAATTATTTATTTGTGAAATTCACGAGGAATTGAAAATGTTTCAATGTTACATATTTATAAACCGAGAGTTCCGGTGCTTGGCTCTGATTGGCTGAGCCGCGTTCGAAGCTGTTGTAAATGACGCTACAAAGTAACACACACCTTTGTTTACGTTTGTGTGTTGCTCGGCAACCACTTTGTAGCAACCACAACTGTTTCTGAGGAGCTACATTGTTTGGTGGAAGAACACTGTGTTTATTAATATCACTACACTTTATTTGCTCCGTTTTATTTTGTAAACCTTACTACGTATATAACCGTTTTATTTTATAAAAGCAGTAACCCCCGTGAAGCCGTGGTTTACAGTGAATTTATAACAGCTAAGGGGGTTTTAGTGCGTAACAACGCCTCTTAGCTGTTATAAACTCACTGTTAACCACGGCTTCACGGGGCTTATTGCTTTATTTGATCATTTGTATAGATTTAATTTATTTCTGAAAATCTAAAAATTTTTGTCTGAACTTGACCAGAGCGGACAAAATGATCTTTTACAAACCATTTCACATTTGTATATATTTGACAAATATGTAAAGATTTTCTTTATTTCCGTGTCTGATTTTGTCCACAGGGACTGCGTGTCGGGAGAGCCTCCAGGATTGACGTGTCTGACCTTCGTTCTCATCTTTGATGGGGAAGCAGAGGATGTTTCTCGTCCTGAAGCCCGTGCTGTCGTCCACACCGCGGTAAAACAGAGGGTGGGAATACGCATCCTTGATGTTGAGGATTTTCCCAGTGGTGGCGACATGACCAGCGATGCCCTGATCCGCCGGGATACGAAACTCCTTCTGCTCACACAAGAGAGACAGAGAGAGAAAGAGAGAGAAAGAGAGAGAGGTCAGAGTTCAATACATTTATTCAGCTCTCAACACTGTAAAAAATTATTTTAAAGGTAAAAGACTGTAAAATTTCTATGGTAAAAAATCTGTTAATTGGTTAACAGTAAATTTCTTTACTGCAAATTTAAATTTGAAACCTAAAATGTTGCTACTATATTTTTTTCTGCTCTCGGGAGCTTTTTGTGTTGGCGGACGGTGCTTCAGCAGTGGTCGTTCCTGTGTCGAGTGGGTTGCGCACTTCAGGCTGCACTACCCCCGTCATGCTGCAAGCGGCCATTTCCCCTGTCTCAGCATGTAAAAGAGCATTTCCATAAAAGAGCCCATTTCTCAATAAGTACAATAGTACAACAGCCCAAGTACAATAAGTGGGTGCGTCTTTGTAAAGACGACGGATCATCTTTTTAAAGATGCCATTTCACCCGTGTGTTTCTGGATGCGGTCGTTACCTGGTGCCAGGTGATGGACACGATCGCTGCCTCACGTGTCTGGGCATTAAACATGCTGAGGTGGTGTTCCCATTGAGGGAAGATGACCATCTCGGAGTTGCGGGCCAGGCTCAGTTTCTGAAAGAGCTCCGAACCGCTACCGACCTCACACTCCGAGCGACAAAGGTCACCGCGAGTTCTCTGGGTCGTGCGATGTCCACACTTGTGGTCCAGGAGCGCCATTTCTGGCTGTGTCTGGTTGATATGAGGGACACCGACAAAGTTCGGTTCCTTAATGCCCCTGTGTCCCAGACCGGCCTCTTCGGCGAAGTGGTCGAGAGCTTGACCCAGCAGTTCTCGGCTGCACAGAAGCAGACTGAAGCGGTTTGCCGCACCCTGCCCCGGCCGGCAGCTGCTGCCTTCACCCGTCCGCAGCTCCTGCGCCGCATCCGTAGCAGCCTCCAGCAAGTAGCGCCGTGGAGCTGGGCATAGGCAGGCCGCCCCACCCGTCAAAACCTGGCGGTGAGCGAAAGAGCAAGAGGCCCTGGGACGGGTGACCCAGAGAGGGAGGAAGCTGCTCTTTGAGGGATGGTGAAGGAGGGCCGGGTGGAGAATCTGGAAAATCTCGACACGAGAGCGGTTTTCTCTGTCCCTGGGTCCCAGGAGGGTACGGAGAGTCGCGAACGGACCAGCACCGGACCACACTCATCCTCCACTATTGCCAGCAGGCAGCAGCGGGTGGTTCGAGAGCGTCAACAAAGGCCCTACTTACGCACCCTCTGCCAAAATGTGGAACCAGGTAAGCGTTGCACCGCAGCACTCACCACAAGTTACACCGGCCTGTCGCCAAACCTTCACCCCGTGGTCAGACCTTGCTTTCCTCCGGGCAGGAGTGACCCTAGAACAGGTATCCAGGCATGCTGTGGTTTACATGGATGCCTCCACCCCGGGCTGGGGGGCCACGTACAATGGGCACGTAGTGTCGGGGGTGTGGACGGGCCCCCAACTGCACTGGCATATCAATTGCCTGGAGTTGTTAGCGGTGCGCCTTGCCTTGAACCGTCTCAAAGGGCACTTGCTAGGCAAGCACGTGCTGGTCCGAACAGACAACACGGCGACCATTACGTACATCAACCGACTAGGTGGTCTGCGCTCCCGTCGCATGTCGCAACTCG